GAGGCCCAATGTCCATCTGCTACCTTAATACTAAACCTATAAGTATATGCACATAAATCTATTTCCCCATCCTCATTATAAATATATTTACATATGTACATGCCTTTATTTAGACCTCTATAAATGCCCTTTGCCTCCTAGTGCTTTTCTCTATTTCCTTTGACTTTCCTCTTGTCCCACTATCATACTCAGCCTTCATTTGGGTTTCAGTAATTCCTCTCGGTTACATTACGCTTGATCACACCCTACCAGGCCTCCTACACCCTCTTCACCACCGATTTGGATCACTTGTTTTTCCCTTGTCCCTGGGTTTGTTAAAACTACTTCCTTTCCCCCCACCTCCTCCTCTCCCATGTCCCCCCGGAACTGTCGGTCCCGTTGTTTTCTCCTCCAGATTGTTCATCCAGTCTATCTTATTTAGATAGATCTGCGGAGATAATAACATAAACAAAAACAAGACAGAAAAAAGCCAAGCAACAAAAGAAAACAAAACAACAACAAATAATCAATGACAAAAACAAACCAAAAAAACACAACACAACAACAACAAAAAAGAAAAGCTTGTAGTTAGTTCAAGGACTGTTTGTTGGCCTTTAGGAGTGTTTTCCATTTGAGTCTGATGGGGTGCCAAGCCCTGGCCCCAAAGTCTATTTTCAGTATTCCCTGGGGACTTTGTTGCTCTGTTCCCCTTACTGCTCTGTTGCATGCCCTCAGTGTTTTGCCGGTGTGGTGGGATCAGATCGGGCGCAATTCCCACACTGTGTCTCCAGGGAACAACAGAACTTTTGGTTAGCAGCCCAATACCTAACACACAGCATCACCAGGGCTTCTTCTGTATGATGCAGTGATATTCACACACCATAATTAAAAAGGAAATGCATCCAGGAAGTGGTTATTGATTTGCTATCCTCGACACTGTAACAGCACTCTTCCCATGTCCTCCCTGTGTTTCCCATTGCCATTTATCCCCTTTCCTGCCTCCTGAGCTTTTTCCCTGGGCAAATGCTGCTCTTGGGCTCTCACAGGGTTGGTCCTTCTAAGGAGTACATACCTCACTGGGGCTACTGTTCCCTTAATAGGACTGTCTGTTGGTGGGCTGAACGTTAAGCCACAGTAAGTTCTGCTCCAGGCAGGAATGGTGATTAACGATGATCGTCTCAGGTGTTCCACCAGTCTCTATTAGACCCGTAAGCCTGGCCGTTTGGTTAATTCTGAGTTTTGTTCCATACATTTCTCTCATTTCACCCAGGATATCTTCTGGTGATTCCTTTCAGAGCTGTGGGCAGTGAAAGCCAGCACCTCTAGTGTTTCTGGTCTCAGGGTTGTGGATCCATGAGTCCATTGGAATAATTGCTTCCATGAATCTTCGATTCCCTCCACTCTTCTTTTCTCTGGTCAGTGGGAGTCCAAAAGTTCCACCAAAGATGGCCTCTCACAAGGTTCTAAGACCCAGTTACTGCTCACCAAAGTAGCATGTAGAGCAGGGTCTAGTGGGTTATGTTATGCCAATTGACATTGATGTCCTCCAAGTCTGTGGTCCCAGGCTTGCCTGATGACTTATTCCTTCAACTAGTTGAAGAAATTTGGTTATGTTTAAGAAATTTCCATAACTCTGGCCCGGTATGTTCTAATATATTCATGGATATATTTGAAACACATAAATACAAATACAGAAGTATCCTCTATCAAACCTACGTATCTCCATAGGCTGGTCCCATGGATGTTCAGCTTGAGGGTCTATGTATCCACACATAGATTACTGTTATGGCTGGACTGTATTCATAGAAATTACCTCTGTTGCATGTAGTAGGATTTACCTCTGTCGGATTATATATTTAAGTATTTGCCTTTGTTGCCTTTAACTCTTGGGCTCTTCCCAGTATTTTCCTTTGCCTTTTTCTTTTAATGTTGACCTCCCCCGTCTTATATCTACTCTCTAGTTACTGATTTACCCTCCCATACCCTCTAGTCTAGTAACCTTCAAAGACGGTTTTTCATGGTGTATAAGTAAATATCTTGTTGTTTGACTGACTAATTTCACTCAGCCTAACGTCTTCTAATCTATTTAAAGTGTTGATAAGCAAAGATATAACTTTGAAGACTAAAATTCACCTGACACAGTCATAGTATTTTCCATCACTTCATATGCATGTAAGAGAGGAGAATCAATGGATTAAATTATGGTGCTGATGAAGAACATTAAAAGTAGTAGGGGCTGCCAAAAAAACAACAACAACAACAACAAATAAATCTATCTTGGAAGAAGGATAGCCAGAATGTTCCTTAGAAGTGAGGCTGAGAAGACTTGGTCTCACGCACTCTGGACATGCTGTCAATGGAAGCAAAGCCCTGGGGGACATCATGCTTGGGAGAGTAGATGGGCAGTGAAAGGGCGGAAAGAAGAGGAAGGAAAACTCTCAACAAGAAGGATCGACACAGTGGCGGCCGCAATGGGCTGAAACAGAAGAACCATGGTGACGGTGGTGCGGGGCTCGGTTATACATGGGGTTGTCACGGGTTGAACCATCCTGATGGCACCTAACAATAACAACAATGTCTTCTAGGTTGAGAAATGTTATCAGGTGTCTCACAGATTCGTTGTCACTCCTTAATGTTGTAGTGTAGTCCATTGTGTACCAAGGTTGGGTTATCCATTCATCCGTCGATGGAACTTGGGTTGGGTCCATCTTTTTGCTATTGTAAATAATGTTGAGCGATGACGGTGGGTGTGCGTCGATGTATTCATGTCTGGGTTCTTATTTCTCTAGGGTATGTATAAGTAGTGAGATTGCTGGGCCAAATGGCATTTCTAATTCCACCTTTTGAAGATACACCAGATCATTTTCTACAGTGGTGGTGCCGTTTTACAATTCCAACAGCTATGAGGGTTCCAGTCTCTTCACATACTTGCCAACATTTGTTTTCTGTTTTGTTATTTTGGGGGAACTGTGGTAGTTACATAATCTAATGTCAATTTAGGACTTGAGAGGATTAAACGTGAAGGAGTGAAGCCCAATATGTCAATCAGATCATAGCCAATGAGGCCAATGTGTGGGCATGACTTTCTCCTGAGAATTCTGGGAAATCTGGGTTTTCCTCCTTGGAGGTGGAAGACTTCTCTCTCTCTGCTCACTCCCTGGGAGACATCCCTGTGGAGAAGACACATGGAGCGAAGCTGATGGAGCCAGACCTCTGGAGAGGAGAAGCCACGTGGAGAGCCCTTCCAGTGCTGAGATGCTTACAATGCCACTGGATCAGTAAGACTTCCAACCCACTGGTCTGTGATCTTCCTGCATTCGGCGTCATTGAATGTGTTTCATGAGTCTGAAGAGGACTTTATAGATTGGCATGGGACATATGGGCAAATATAGGACTTACGGACTTGATCTGGACTGGGCTGGGATGTTTTCTCAATGTTCAATTGCTCTTATATATAAAACTACTTCTTATACACATGTGAGTTTCTATGGATTTGTTTCTCCAGTCTACGGGACTAACACAGGAACTCTGTTGTTCATGCTGAAGAGAGATGATGTGCCATTGTAGTTTGATTTGCATCTCTCTAATGGCTAATGAGTGTGAGCGTGTCTTCATGTTTGTTGGTTGCTTGAGTATCTTCTTTGACAAAGTGTCTGTTCATATCTTCTGCCAATTTTAAGTGGATTGTTTGTCTTTTTGTGGTTGAAGTGTAGATGTTTTCTGTAAATTTTAGATATTAGCCCTTTCTCTGCTATGTCCTTGCCAACAAACCTTTTCCCAGTCTGTAGGTTCTCTTTTTGACTCTTGATAGCATCTTCTGAGAAGCTGCAGGGTTTCATTTTTAGGAGGCCCAGTCATTTAAGTCGTCTCCCGATGTTAGTGTGCTTTTAGTTTGATAGAGCATTTGTGGCATGTATGAAGGGCCCTAAGTCTGCCCCTGTTTTTTCTTGGATGGTCTTCATAGTTTGAGATTTTGCACTGAAGTCTTTGAACCACCTTGAGTTAGTTTCTGTAGCTGTTGGGAGATACGGACCTTGGTTCATTTTTCTGCAAATGGACATCTAGTTTTGCTAGACCCTTTTGTTAAAGGAGCCCTGGTGGTATAGTGGTTACACAATGGGCTGCAATCCAGCAGGCTGGCAATTCAAACCCTGGCAAACAGTTACAGCCTTGGAAACTCACAGGAGCAGTTCTAGCCTGTCCTAGAGAATCACTCTGAGTCGGCACTGAGTGTGCCATTTTTTAGCTGTGAGGTTTTTTAGTTTGTTAAAGAAACTCTCTCCCCCATTTAGTGGCTTTCAACCCTCTGTCAATGATCAGCTGTCCTTAAAGTGGATGGATTTACTTCTGGGTTCTAAATTCTGTTCCACTGGTTGATGGCAGTCAATGTATGAGTACCAGCCTGCTTCAATTACCATGTCTGTATACTAGGGCTGTGTTTGTTTGTTTAAATTTTTATGGTGAATTATGTGGGGGTAAGCATTTCAGATCTTCATTTTTATATTCAACGACTTAAGAAACATATCAATTAGCTTGCCCGCCCCATCTTTTCTCTTCTCCCTCATGCAGGATATCGTCTTCTCCGTCAGCCACATTAACATCTCTAGCCGATATTTCCTCTTTTTCCATCCCTCCCTGCCTCTGATAACCACTAAAGCCTGTTTGTCTGTTTGTTTTTTAGTATCAAAACCTTTATCTTGATTTTTTTCTCTTCTAACAGTGGTACCATACTTGTCCTTTTGTGATTGACTAATTTCACTCAGCATAATGTCCTCAAAACCCATCTATGTCATGCAATGTGTCACAGTTTTGCTATTTTTCTTTGGAGATGCACAGCATTCTATTCTGTGTCTAAAGTTTATTTCTCCATCCTCCCACTCCTGAGCATTTAGGTTGTTTCCATCTTCCTGCTATGGTGAATAGTGCTTCAATGAACATAGGTGTGCACATATCTGATCATACTGTATGCTTCAGTTCTTTAGGGTATTGGGTAGTAGGTGTGAGACTGGGAAGCATGAGACCAGCTACTTTGTACTTCTTTAGTAGTGCTTTGCTTATCCAGAGTATCTGTTCTTGCCCTATAAAGTTGGCTTTTATAAAAAGAAAGACTTTTCTTTCTCGTTAAAGAATGATGCTGGTATCAGGATCAGGATCTCACTATATCTGCAGATCACTTTAGGATGTATTGGCTTTTCACAATGCTAAGTTTTCCGATGCATGAATATGATATATTCTTCCATTTAGATAAGTCTCTTCTGGTTTCCTGTAGTTGTGTTTTGGGTGATTTTCTTAAACTTGATAGCTCTTCACAATCACCTGTGGAACTGTGCAAAATGATGCCAAATTCTGAACCTCACCCAAAAGTATGGGGTGGGCCTGGTACCTGTATTTTAGAAAATGTGCAAAATGGTTCTGAAGGCAGCTTCTAGCCCACATGTACCTGCTGGAATATTGTCTTAGTCAATACACAAATCTGTGATAAACATAAAGTAATTGATGCCTGGAATTGTGCAGTGTGCAAACTGCATCTCTAACTGGCTGCCCTTTCAGCCCGTGAGCTATGTAACGAGGGTCACCAAAATCTACAGTGCAGAGGGTAGGTGAAGACTCCAGTCCAATCGCTCTAAGGAAGAATTCACAGCCATCAAACCTGACCATTCCAAAGATGGTATGACAGCACCTAACGGTGTTTCTCCTGGTGATTCTATGAGATAGCAGAAGATTTTTTTTAAATCATTTTATTGGGGGCTCTTACAACTCTTATTACAATCCATACATACATACATTGTGTCAAGCACATTTGTACATTTGTTGTCATCATCATTCTCAAAACATTTTCTTTCTACTTGACCCCTTGGTATCAGATCCTCATTTTCCCCCTCCCTCCCCCACCCTTCCTCCCTCACGAACCCTTGATGGTTTACAAATTATTATTTTTTCATGTCTTACACTGTCCGATGTCTCCCTTTACCCACTTTTCTGTTGTCCATCCCCGAGGGAAGGGGTTATATGTAGATCATTGTGATTGGTTCCCCTTTTCTCCCCCACCTTCCCCTTACCCTCCTAGTATCGCTACTCTCATTATTGGTCCTGAGGGGTTTATGTCCTGGATTCATTGTGTTTCCAGTTCTGATCTGTACCAGTGTACATCCTCTGGTCCAGCTGGATTTGTAAGGTAGAATTGGGATCATGATAGTGGGGGGGCATTAAAGAACTAGAGGAAAGTTGTATGTTTCATCAGTGCTATACTGCGCCCTGAATGGCTTGTCTCCTCACTACAACCCTTCTGTAAGGGGATATCCAGTTGCCTACAGATGGGTTTTGGGTCTCTACTCTGCACTCCTCCTCATTCACAATGATATGATTTTTTGTTCTGATACCTGATCCCTTCGACACCTTGTGATCACACTGCTGGTGTGATTTTTTTCATGTGGGCTTCGTTGCTTCTGAGCTAGAGGGCCCCTTGATTATCTTCAAGCCTTTAAGACCCCAGACGGATAGAAAAGCAATATGCTCAGCTGCTAAGGATGGAGGTTCAAGTCCACTCACAGGTGCCTCAGAAATAAGGTCTGATAACCTACTTCTGAAAACAAAATAGCTATTGGGAATCCTACATAGCACAGTTCTACCATGACACATATGGTGTCCCTATGCGTTGGACGATTCAACTCAATGGCAATGGTGGTACATGAGATAAAGGTGGAGTGTGGGAGGGTAAAGCCAGATTACTCCTTAGAGACAAGGATGGCAAGACTTTATCTTATATACTTTGGACATATTATCAGGAGAGACCAGTCCCTGACCATGTTTAGAAGCTCAAGTGGAGGGGCAGCAAAAAAGAGGAAGACCTGTACGACATGGATTGAGCCAGTGGCTGAAACAGTGGGCTCAGGCATAGGAACAATTGTGAGGGTGGCACAGGACCATGCAGTGTTTCATTCTGTTGTGTGGAGGGTCGCTGTGGGTGAGAGCCTACTTGATGACACCTAACAGCAATAGAACAGGGTAGACCTGGATCTTTAGTCTGACTCAACCACTTCATTAGCTGTGTACCTTGAGGCAAATAATTCCCACTTCCTAGACTTCAGTCTGTTTGTGTATCAAATGGGTCTGATGGAGCACAAGCCTCCTATTGGCCAGTAGTTTCAGCCAGCACCTTCCTTCTTTTTTCTGCCTGGTGGGTCTCAGCTGTGATGCTCCTGGCTGGCTGGCTCCTGTTGGCCTTCAATTCAATCCTTCTTCTGTCCTGGGTCCTGTCACCCAAAGGTCTGTGGCCCACAAAGGGGCAGTGGCCCAGCTCCAGGAGTGCAGTCAAGAGCAGGTAAAAATCTACTGGCACAGAGAAAGCACTCTAGACCGATTTGTAGAATGGATGGATGGGTGGATGAATGAATGAATGAGCTTCTAAACACAGCTTGCCCCACCCCCTTGATCATTTCCAAAGATGAAGTCTAGTATTACAGATTTTTCCTAGGCCTTGAGCAAGTTAGAAATGGAGAGGCATCCTTAGTGCCACCCACTCTTGTCTTTAGCACACTCAGTCCCAACAATCTGTCCCACTTTGCTTTTCTCTCTCCTCTATCTCTTCTAGCAATCATCACTAGTTGTGCACTGAACAACCTGTGCGTCCTCAGCCGAGGATGAGAAGACAATACTGAACTCTAGCTCATGCTCCACTTGCAGGGTTGTGAACCTGCAGAGCTGTACTGGCCCAGCAAGGATGTCTTTCTCCAATTTACTGTTTGGATTAGTCCTGGCCTTGTCTGTAACTCCCATTCAGTGAATTCTCCACCACCCCCTGCATGGATAATGGTAATAACAGGCAACCAGGGAGTCTGCTGACCACAAGTGGCCAAGCAGGTCCTGCTCTATCTGCCACGTTGAGGACTAACACATTATGGTACCTTGGGAGTGAGGTACTGGAGCAGGGTTTCTCAACCTGTGGGTCGCGACCCCTTTCACAGGGGTCTCCCAATTCATAACAGTAGCAAAATTACAGTTATGAAGTAGCAACGCAAATAATTTTATGGTTGGGGTCCCCATGACATGAGGAACTGTAATAAGGCTCGCGACATTAGGAAGTCTGAGAACCACTGTGCTGGAGAAACCAATCATGAAGATGGAGGGGATGCTTGTCTGACCTCTGCCTCGTGGTAGTTTTCTCCTTTGTCCAGCCAGGGTCCGATATGGCCATGCAGTTTACTGGGTTGTTTTCTGGAAAGAATATGGGAAGTTAAAGGTTTGATTCTTTTGTTTGGCTGTTGTCTTTGGTTATTCCTGTTTGAAATGGTGAAAACGAATGTGATAAATGTATATTTTGAGCTCAGGGGATGAAATCACTCTTTCAATTTCTCAGAGACCATGCTGCTTAGTGAAAAGGGCTGACAGAAGGTCAAAATGGCTGACAGAAGGCGCTGGCGCAGTCAGAAGCATGAGGCCATATTTTGTACCGATGGATGGAATAGTTTAGATAATGATTAAGATAAGATAGATAAGGATCTGGCTCTACTAGGTTTATACTGTTTTATTCTGTCTATTGTTACTGATATAATTATTGATAGAAATGACTATTGGGAAATAAAAATAGAGAGTTGGTCAGACTACTTGTCTTCAGCCATTAAATTGGAATTTAAATGGGTTAGGACACACCTGCAAAGAAGGCTCTGAAATGATAAGCCCCATCCAGTGTTTTGAGTGCACAGGACATTCGAAGGTGAAGAGACTTGCCTAGAGGGCTGTTGATAGATTGAAGGAAAAAGGCACTCTAGCTTTTTGAATTTTGAACTAGTGGTTTGTGCCTGAGGCTGGAAAAATTTGGAACATAAAAGGAACTCTCCTCTCTAGGACTGAACTGTTAAAGAGAGCCTGTGGGCAGGCTGAAATACTTGCTAGGTGACCCCCTGGATCCACCTGTTGAGTGGAAGTGAGAGAAATGCAGCAATAGAGATGGGTTGAGTCTGGTCACTGACACCCGTGGACCTGGTTCACAAGGATTAGAGGAGAAAGCGAGAGCAAGTTGACTGGTCTGAAGTTCATGGCCTAGCACAAGGTTGTTGAGAATTTGTGATGGGGCACATGGTCTAAAGGCAAGGCTGCCAATGGTCACCTGGCGAGAATCCCACCTCAACCAGATGAAGAGAAGATGTTTTTGAGCCTATGAACTGGTGCATACTGCTGGTGGCTTTATGGATGGCCTGTTCTGATTTGACTTTGCTTATGGATGCAGACTCACAAGATTCCAACTGGAATGAAGTTGCTTCACATGAAAGAATATGATTGTGTCCTCAGAGCACTGGGTTGATGGCAGTATAGAAATTGGATAAAGGCATGAAGTGGTTATTTTACAAACCTTCATAGCTGGGGAAATTCATAAGATTATGGTATAAGTGCTTAATTAACTGAAATTATTAAGCATAAAATATTGTTTTGTTCACTTATAGAATGTTACATTTAAGTGAGGCTGGCACATTCTTTAAATGTATGCATTTTAGTTTTATCCTGTTAGGTACAGTGAGCAAACCTTCTACAGTGAACCACAAGTAGATTGGCAAGTGAGGATGAGGGTCATTGGCGTCTGCTGTGTTGAGAGTAGGCATGGCAACCAGGAGGGTTCCTGACCACCTCTGCAGATCATCAGTGTCCATAGATGGGTGAGTGGGTCATTATATGCTTGAGTTGGATGGGTGGGTAAGTGAGTAGGTGAAAGGCTGAAAGGATCAGTGGATAAGGGTAGATGGAAAGATGGGTGGATGAATGAAGGGGTGGATGGATGATGGAAAAGGAAAATGGGTGAGTTGGAATAGGGTTGATGGATGATGGCAGTAGATGAATGGAAGCATGGATGAATGGATGAGTAAATTGAAAGGTGGATAAAGTCATGATTGGATTGGAATATGGTTAGATGATGCAGGATGGAGGTGAATGGATGGGTCAGTGGGTGGACAGATGGGTAGGTAAATGGAAAGGTGGAAGGAGGATGGAGATAATGGGTAGTTGGAATATAATTGGATGGTTGGCAAGCGGGTGAAAGAATCAATCAGTAAGTAGACAAATAGAGGAAGTTTCAGGCTGAAAAAGAAATGATTGGGTGAGTGAAACAAAACCTGGGGTAGAAAGTCCAGAGCACTCTGACATATCAAACTTCCTTCCTGCCGTCTCCAGATATAGCCACTGTCGTAGGCCTGCTGCTTTTCCCCATAAGCTTGGCCTCCCCATTCAGCAAGAAAGCCTCCTCCGTAGACCACAGTGGGCAGTGCCAACCGGGCTGGGGCTAGGTGACAGCCATCCTCAGTGTAGTCCTGGCCAATCTCCTGTCCGTCATTGGATGTCCCTGGAAAACCGAGGTTCAGGGGAAGACCATCTTCTTCTCCAGTGACACCGCGACTATCACCTTTAAACCAGAGACCAGCAAAGTTAGGTGTCATGGGGTCAGTGCCAACTCACAGTGATCCCAGGCACCACAGGCTGAAACCCTGTCCAGTCCTGCACCATCCTCACAATTGTTATGTTTGAGCCCACTGTTGCAGCCATGGAGTCAACCCATCTATTTTTGCTAACCCTCTACCTCTGTCTTTTCCCAGGGACTGGTCCCTCCTGGGGACATGTCCAAAGCCCATGCAGCCAAGTCCCGCCATCCTTGTTTCTCTGGAGCATTCTGGCTGTGCTTCTGTTAGGTAGTCTAGCTTAAGGGCTGGGGCCATTACACATCCATTACACGTCCATTACACATGCCCAGATTTCCGAGCTATGAAAACCAAGGAGTGGCACACTGCACATGCTCAGAGGTTCAGGTTTCCCACCAGGTACACCTGGGTGGGTGCTGCACCTGGATTGGCCCACCTAGGCCAGGTGAATTAAATTCAGCCAATGGGTCGACCAGGGTTGTCCACCATGCCTCCCCGCAGAATCATTGAAAAGGCAGGAGCCTGGAGTCGACCGCGTGACTTTACGAGCAGTTTCCAGGCAGGCTGCATGTTCGTGAGGAGCCCTGTGTGTGCCTGTGTACACCTGAAAGCTCTTCTAACGCTCATGAAACTCACTTGGATCACAAACCAGGCTTCAGCGTGAATTCTTTCTCGTGCGGAGCCAAGGACCGAGGTATGTCTCTCCCTGAGAGATCTAACACTTCTACCAACAAGGACGTGTTTGTTCTTCTTGCAGTCCATGTGCTTTGAATATTCTTCACTGACACCATAATTCAAAATGCATTGGTTCTTCTCTGGTCTTCCTTATTTTTGGTCCAGCTTTTACATGCATATGAGGTGACTGAAAATACCATGACTCAACTCAGGTGCACCTCAGGCTTCAACTTTGCTCTTTAACACTTTAAGGAGGTATTGGGCAGCAGATCTGTCCAGAAGACTACGTCATTGGACTTCTTGACTGCTGCTTCCATGACTGCTGATTGTGGATCCAAGTAAACCAAATCTCCATGTATCAATCTCCTGAGAAGAGCACAATAAAACGAGACCCTACCCTAGAATTGTGCACCATCACCACATCCCTAGGTTCAAATACCACTTCTGCTATGTAATCTCAAACAAGCCACCCACTCTGGGCTTCCATTTTCTGTTCTGTAAAACAGAACTTGAAATTATACCAACCTCAAAGGGTTGTTATAAGAATTCGATTGAGATGCTCTATGTAAATAATCATTTAACTCAGCATCTGGCACTTATTACTGGTAGCACAGTAGGGTTAGCATGGGGCTGCTAATGAAAGGCTGGTGGTTCAAACTCAGCAGCCACTCCTCAAAAGATATGACAGCCTGCTTCTGTAAAGACAGAAAGACTACTCTACGTGGGGGCTTTGCAAATAGATTTTGGGCTTTCATTGGTATTCATAGCCTTTTGCAAACTGCGTGCAGTAAACAATCCTTGGATCACACAGGCTGCTGTGTGTCTTCCATGTAGACTTAGCTGACACCTCACTTAGATGGCTGCTTGCTTTAAGACAAGCCTTTAGGACCTCCAAATGTTATTCTTTCTGACAGCCTGGCCTGATTCAACCTCCGGTAACCCCCCCTCTGGAGTATGTATCGATCTGCTGGCAACTATGCATTTGTAACAGTTTTGCACAATCTCCCATATCCTTTTTAAAACTCTGCACATCATAAACACTTGGGCATCATTCTACCTTTGTGTGAATGGTCTCCCTCATCTGGACAACATGTCTGGGACCCGCTGGATGTCAGCAAGCATGGTATTACCATGACGGACTCCTTGGGTGGTACAAACAGTTGATGCGCTTACGTGTTAATCAAAAGGCTGGAGGCTCAAAGCCACCCAGCAGAGTCTTCTAAGAAAGGCTTGGCCAGCAATTTTCAAAAAGACCAGTCACTGAAAATCGTATGGCTCACAGTTGCACTCTGACATAGTGGCGTGGGTTTCTTCTTGGCCATACTCTTCACAGAGCAGATCCCCAGGTGTTTCTTTCACAGGGCTGTTGAGTGGATTTGAACCACGAACCTTCTTCATCAGATATTTCACAAGTGCCTGTGAGCCCAGGGTTGGGCTGCTATCTACAGTCTGGTCCTCGGGAGAAAGAGGAGACCTCCTGCTCCCCTTACAATTTACAGTCTCAGGAACTCGAAGGCAGTGTGCTGCTTTTGGTTTGGTCATAAACTGGAAAGAAGATCCTTTGCTTGATGGGTGTAGCATAGTGGGTTATGAGTTAGGTTACTAACTACAAGGTCAACAGTTTGAAAGCACCTGCCACTCCACAGGGGAAAAATGAGACTTTCTGCTCCCGTGGAGTCACAGTCTCAGAAACCCGCAGGGGCAGTTCTATGCTGTCCTTTAGAGTTGCTCAGGCAGGATCAATTTGATGAGTGTGCATTTGGCTTTAGTTTGGTGAGACAGAGATAAACTCAGGCTGATCTCTCCCATCATTCCAGCATGTATCTGCAGCCTTCTGCCTACTGAGTTACTGGGGAGGAGGGATGTAGACAGACACAGATGTGACTGTCAGCCATTGTGAAGTGAGGAAATGGCTTTTGTTGTTGTTGCTGTTGACCCTCAGAATCTTGAGCTACACACTTAGCTGTTTCCAGGCACAGCTTCTTAAGGGTGGTTTGTTACACAGCATTGCTTGTGGCATGAGCTGACTGATACAAGGGGTGAGAGATTCACCTGCTTTGGACTCATCAGGAAAATGCTGGACAGTTGTCACAAGAGTCTGTTCTCATTTGGGTAGGGGGTTACTGGGGGAATGAGGACATGATCTACAGAAGCAAATACTGCTTTTATTTCAATTGAAGATCACTACCACCACCAATTCTCCAAACAACAAAGAAGAAGAAGGAAAAGAACCAGGAGTCACATAGTTCTCTCTGTGTATATATATATATTTTTTTTTCTCTATATAGACACAACTCTGCAATAAACATTTAGAAGATATGTTGGCAACATTGAAAGGGGGCATTCAATGGACAGAAGGCCTCCTAGGAATGACATCCCAGGACACACGAACACACACACACACATGTGCACACACACAGTGTGCAAAGAGCCAAAGAAGCACAGCACACTAAATAAATATTAGCTATTCCAAATCACAACCACAGGGGCTCTTAGGAACACCAGGTCAAGGGTGCTGAGAAGGGGTCTTGTGCTATGTGTCCACATTAAGAGAAAGAAGAGTGGGTCCATCCTGGGTCCAGATCCTGCTGAAGTCATCTCCTTCAGAGAGACTAGTGGAATGGCCAAAGACGTTAGTTATCTGGAGGGCCCTCTCCTGTGCTTTACCTCTGCTTGGCAGTTTAGTGGAGGAGGGTGAGTGAGAGGAGGCGAATCAGATAGCTAGAAGCCTGCTCTCCTCTCCTCTTTGGGCTTTACCAGGGTGGGATAAGCAGCAGGACCTGGAAAGGCAACTAAAGCTTCAGCTCTCCCTCTCAGGCACCCTGTGACACAAGCTAGCCTAAGCCTCTTCTGTGCTGCCCCCAGAGGCCCCACTCATGCTGAGGTCAGTAGTTCAGGAACAGCTGAAGGCACTCACTGTCTCCAAGCAAAACTGTCTCCAAGAGACTTTCACCCAGACACAAGGGCAGGATATGCCCCTGCCTCCTGGTAGGCCCATGTGTTGTATCCACTTCCTCCCTGCTCCACAGGCTAAACATGCTCAGCTGCTAACGCAAAAGTTGGCAGTTTGATTCCACCCAGAAAGGCTCTGGGAGCTCCTTCCAAAAACATCAGCCTCTGGGGAGGGGTGGTGGTAGTGAAGTATAGAGCACAGGGTCTCCATGAGTCAGAGATAACTGGCAGGGGATTTGAACTCATGCTAAGATGCCTCAGAAGAAGGGTCTGGCAATTCTACTTCCCAAAATTCTGCCACAGGAAACCTCTGGTGCGCAGCTCTATGGTCAAGTAGAGGTGGCCTGGCTCCCCTTCTCCGAAATCACAACTGCCATTCTCGGACTTCCCAGTAGGCGGCAGGTTTCCTGCGCAGTGCATTCTTCCCCACCCCACCCCCACCCCCAACCCCACCCCCGGTGTCCCCCAATTCTTTGTGGGCTCTCCAGATACAAGCGCTGACCAGAAGCCTGGAATTGGAGGAGAGGATTCACTCGATAATCTCTGGTCTGTTCAGGGATCGCTGAGCCTGTGTGTGAGATGTGGAGGGGGCTGTGCTGAGACCTAGCCATCCCCTGGCCCCAACCAGCGACAGCAGGAGATGCTTTTCAAGAAGAACACTCCCCACACTGCTTCCCCCAGCCTAACCTCTGCCTTCTTGGTCCTGAGTTAGCAGGGCACTGAGAAAACATCCTGCCTCCCCCCTCCCCCCAACTGAACAAATGGCTTTCACCAATACACCCAGTCAGGCCTCTGGGTCTGCGGAAGCAGAGACACAGAGGTGTAGGTGGTGGGAAGCAGGTAGCAGGCAGGGCCTGCGGGAGCTTGGACTAGCTCACACCTCCAGAAACTTCTTAAGCGTGACCAGTTTTCTTCAAAAGAAGGCAAAATAAAGCATCTCCTGGTCCCGTCCCTCCCCCCGGCCCGCAGGCAGAGGAGGCAAAATGAGATACACAGAATTGGGATCCAGGACCCCAAGAAAGAAGTGTGAGGGGCTCCCTGTGAGGCTCGTGTGGGGGCGCCCTGGGGCACTGCGTGGCTCAAGAACACAGAAAGTGGGAAAGGAAAGACATTGGTGCCTCTCCTCTGAGCCAGTGGCTTTCAACTCAGGGTGATCGTGGCCCCAGGGACCATCTGGAAACGTCTGGAGACATGTCTGATTATCATGGCAGTATATCAGCACTCCAAACATTCTAGCCAGCCACGTTCTGGAACCTTCTCAAAACCCTTCTAGAATATTCTCCTAAACATTCCTGGAACATTCTAGCAAACATTCTAGAGCATTCTAGCAACATTCTGGAAAATTCTCAAAAATGTTCCCAGAACATCCCAGAAGGCCCCATATGTAGTAGCAATGTGCTCTCCTAGACCTCTTCCACAGCCATTTTCCAAAATGACCTTGCCCCCCAAGGTGCCTCTGACAGATCACCCTGAGCGGTGGCAGAGAGAAGGGGAGGCCTCTCTGGAGAACAGGAGGAAGTTGCCTTCCTTACCCACCACCAATCTTCAACTCCCGCCAGGGAAAAGTCCCAGGCTAGGCGATCTTTGGTCAAACAGGAGAATATAAGGCTGAACTGAAGGGACAAACACCGGTCTCCCCTCCCACCTGCCCAAAGGCCAAAGACAGGGAAGCTTCTCGTTGCCCGGAAGTCCATGGTGAGCAGCGAGATGCCAGGACCTTGGCCTCCAGACAGCATGAGACCAAGCAGAGCGCAGGCGGGTGGACACAGAACGGAGCCTGCCAGGCAAGGTGTCCTCTACTTGTTCTCAATCAGAGTCTGCACCTTGTACACCAGGTCTCGGGCCAGCTTCAGAACTTGTTTGGTGTTGTGTCGCTCGGCCATTTCTGGGAAAAAAGAAGAGCAAAAGAAAGTAAAGTCCCACAAGTCTCCTTTCGTTGTCTGACTGGCAACATACCGCCAGCCCCTGAAGGAGTGGGAGGGACATCTCCATCCCAGAGTCCTCCAGGAAGCCAACTCTGAGGGAAAACTGCTGCAGGCCTCAGTTTCCTCACCTGTAAAGTGGGATCATAACACTTCCTACCTCCCTAGGTGACTCTGAGCACAACAGAATGTTGTTGGCACATGGCATGGATTTCTGGGAATTTTCTGTCCCTCCACTCCTGCAGAAAGAATGAGTGGCCATCCTTTAAAGAGACAAAGATTGGCATGTCCTATATGTTTAGAGAGAGGGAAAGAAAGAGGGAGTGGGGTGAGGAAGAAAAGAAAGGAGAGGAGGTTGGAGAGGGGGAGTGAAAATGATGTTGATATCAAGAGCCAAAGAGAAGGAGCCCACTGCTTAATCTGCATAATCCTAAATGTCACCATTTATTATGAAGAAGGAGCTTCGAAGAAGAGGGAAGAGGCACTCTAAGAATGGTGTATAGGCTAAGAAAACACACACACACACACACACACACATATACACACAGAAAGGCAGAGCTTACACTGCAGCCCGAACCCCCAACTCAAGAAACCCTAAAGCTATGCTCCCTGCTTCAGGCCTGGTGCAGTGGACAGACCGGGAATCTGTCACTGGACCATCAGAAGCCTTGGTTTTTCCCCGACTTCAAAGTGGGGAGGTGAATCCAACTCCACAGGAGCCCAAGGCTGATTCCTATAAGGCAGACATCAGAAGTACCTCCACCCTCCAACTTCCTTCACCCTATTCTGACACCAAGGGTCCCACCTACAGCACCTTATTTTCCTGCTGGGCTTGATAATCCATTGCAATGGCGACACAGAACTCACAGACAATCCAATACTCATGGTTATGGAGCTTATTAGGCAAGCTAACAGGTTACAAGTCAGTAGCAGAAATGTTAAGGATACAGTTCTTTTGCCCACCGTGCCTCTTCTCAGTTGGGCCCACAGGCACATCTCTCTCTGGTCCTTAGCCTCTCGGCTGGGCCTCTGCCCTGCTCAGGCAAGTGTTACAAAACTCCTTCAGCACGGATAAATGCCCAAAGGGCATGCCACTCTGCAAGCCAGCTCCTGGCCAAATGCACTCAGCTTTGCTTGTTCTGTGGACCAGGAAGCCTGCTGCTCTGTCTCCTGGTCTTGACACTGCTGCCTCTGCAGCTTCCTCTGCTTCTCCAGGCAGGGACCACTGATGTGCTCCAACTACTCATCCCGCTTCCTTCTTGATGGCTGTGAGATTCCCTATTGCTACTTCTGAGATGGCTCACTTTATACCCCGTGGAGAGCAAAAAGGGCCATGTGAGAGTCACACACACCCTATTTGCATGCTCCCACCCAGTCGTTCAGTGGAAATTACACTATGCGGAGAGAAGAGGCACACCATTTAATTCAACTGTGCCACCGGCACTGAGACCATGGCCCCTCAACTTTGTGCCAAGATACCCCAGAGGGCTGTGATGAACTCACAGGACTTCTGAGGGATACCCCCACCCAGGGAGATTTTTAATTGCTGAGGGAAACCCAATAGTTTTGTGCAGGTGTGGGACACCAGAAAAAGTGCTAACTCGAGTTTGCACCTTAAACAACATGACTTTTCTATCAGTAACAGCCTCGTGCCAAATCTAGGATTTCAATGAGTGCTATGATTAAAAACAAAAACAATTACTATGCAAAAACCCATACTCACTGCCATGGGGTCAATGCTGACCCATAGTGACCCCACTGTGCATTTCTGATTCTTTAGCTGTCTACAGGAGTAGCAACCCCACCTTTCTCCCGCAGAGCAGCTGGTGGTTTCTGACTGCTGACCTTTTGGATCGCAGCCCAACTCATCACCACGACACCAGCAGGGTTCCCTTCCATTTACTGGGTTCCTTGTGGGCCAAGTTCCATGTGGTGTTTATTCATGGACACCGTCATTTAATCCTTAGGGCTGCCCTGTGAGGCCCTTGTCCAAGGCCACACAGCTTCCGGCAGCATAGCTGGGGCTAGCATCACCTCTGTGTGGTTTCAAAATTGATGGCCTTTTTCAGGCCTCTTCCACTGCTTCTTATGCCTGATCTTCCTTTCTAGGTCAAACTGCTGAAGCAGACAGGGCCAGCTCATTTGACAGGAGAGGAAGAAGGTGTTTGCCAAGAGGATGTTTAGAAAGGGAAAGTTACATGACCGTGCATGGTCAACAGCAGAGCCAGGCTGTGCCTGAGCCTGATTGTGATACCCAGGCCCTCTCTGCCAGGTCCCCAAGTAAAGTATGTTCTCAGAATAATCAGGTTTCAACTTATCCATCTGGAAAAGGTTACAGGAAGTGACCAAATTGAAGGGACTACTGATCTCTCCCTGCCCAGAGGGAAAAAGAATGGTGAAAATCAAAGGCACATGAACATTTGTGGTCCAAAGGACTAAAACAGACTCCGTGGACATCAATTTCCACAACTCTGAAACCAGAAGAGCTAGATGGTGCCTGGCTACTACTACCAACTGCTCTGAAAGGGGTCCCATTCGAAGACCCTGGCCAGAGTGAGAGAAGAATGTGGAACAAAACTCAAGATCCTACAAGAGGTCAGTCTTACTGGTCAGGTAAGAACTAGTAGACGCCCTAAGACTATGGCTCTCAGTCGCTCTTCAGGTCTGGAACTGGACTCATCAGCCCATGAGACTCAACTGTCAGCCACACCATAGCCAGCTCTATGAGGAACAGTAAGTAGCACTAGGGAGATACTAACTCCTTAGAATCATCAACCACTTGAGATAAAAAGAGCAACATGGACCTATGGACCAAGTTCAGAAGGGCTAGGAAAGAGGAGAGGAATGGGTGTGGGAAACTGAGAACCGGGAAGAGAGTTATGCTGACAAATTCTCTACGCCCACATTTAAGGATTCTGGGAGGCCGAGACTCTGGTGGAGGAAGGCTTTCACACTTGTGATTTGGAGATGAATTCCAGTCACATTCTCTTTACTAAAAGTAGGTCCCCACAATGTCCCCCATAATAACGCCAATTTTAAGATGCTTCTTACAAGCTCATGGTTGCTTAGTGTACACTTGAAGGTTATCTGCCTTTGAGAGCAATCAGACCCTATTGTCCACCCCCACCTTCAGTACGGCCCACTCCCTTCTGAAACCGATCAGATTGTTCCCCTGGAGAAGCGCTCAAGGACAACTAAGGTTAAGCTGCCATCTTAATTCTAGGACTTGCGCACCCTCTATGTGCCTTGCCATCACCTGCACATCGCTACTAGCTCCCCTTCCTATGATGTGTATGTCCCTAATACATGCCCTTTCTGTTACATGTGTGTATGATGTGGCTTGCACCCTGATGATGATATCGGCCTGTGAGAGAATACAGTCCCTCTCTCTGGTTCCAGGCTCCATGGAACCTGTTGGCCTTTATTTCTTTGCTTTTAATTACACACTCACTCCTTAGGACCCTTAACGGTTGTAAAAGCTGGTCCCCCACAGAATGGAAACAGGAAACACAGGGAGGACGTAGGATGAGGGGTGTTCCATGGTGGGGACAGCCATCCATGCAACAAAAGATGTCTGGATGGTTGAGTGGAAAATGGATCTGTTCTCTCAACCGTCATCCCATTCACAATGCAATTTCTTTTCAAAGAAAGAAGTAGTCAAAGGCAATCCCACCTCCATCCTGTTCACTATGTGCTCCCCTTAGCACAGCTTTATCCTTCCCAGGGCTCTCCAGAAGTCATGCCCCTCAGACGAGCCTCCCCGCCCCACCTTCCCACCAGCAAGGTACCATTAAAGAACTTGATGATGTCAGTGAAATCCATGTTGTTCTCCAAGATGATGTCTCGGTAGACCTCCACCAGAGCCAGCGCAATAAACAGGACGTAGTGGGCAGATGAGACGTGTTTGGCTGCCCAGATGGTCTCCCAAACGGAGAAGACGTCATCGTAGATGAGTTCTGCCAAGGAGACACCAGCACAGACACATATAGAACGGCAAAGACCACAGTCCAGCCCTGACGCCCCAACTCAAGAAACCCTCCAGCTGTGCTCCCTGGAGCACAAGGTTTAGTGCAGGCCGGGTGCAGTGGACAGACCTGGAATCTGTCACTGGATCACCAGAGGCCTTGGTTTCCCCCCCCACATGTAAAATGGGCTATACAAACCAGATGGTTTATAGGTTCCTTGAATGCACAATTTCAGCATGGGCACATTTGAATTACTTACCTGTCACTGCCTTGCCCCTAAGGAGCCCTGGTGATGCTGTGGTGCTAAATGTTGGGCTGCTAACTTCCGGGTTTGGGGTTCAAATCCACCAGCAGGAGAAAGATCAGATTGTCTGTTCCCATAATGACTACCAGTTTTGGAAACCCTAGGGAGCAAGTCTACTCTTTAGGGTTGCTGTGTTGGCACTGATTCGATAGCTGTGTTTCTTATTCCTGCCCCTTGACTAGTATCCCCACTCTCTGCTTCCTCCATCTCTATTTAAAAGCCTATTTTTCTTTCCCCCTGTGCAAAGACAGTGCTGTCTAATACATCCAAATCTAGTAATGAGACAAACAGAGGAGTAGGAAAAAGTAAGACATCTGGCGTTTGGCCAGCTGGGTTTGAATCCTGGCTCCCTCACTATCAAGGTGACCTTAGGCTTCTTCTTCCCTACCATGAACCTCTCTTTCCCCAGCTGTATAATGAGGTGATGGAAATTTCAGTAAAAGATGGAAGGAAAAATACCCAGAAGCAGCTCAGTGCAGTGCCTGACACTTGGTAAACACCTCCAAACATACTAGCCATTACTATTATTAGCATGAACCCCATGTTTGCACCATAGCAATGTACTGTGCTACACATTATTTCTAAGTCACAAATGAAACAAAGCACTAGCTACTCACTAATCCATAACCTTTAGAGTTCTTGGTCTTTGCTGAGCAGTAGAATTGAGTAGGAGGGACCAGGGATGAGGATGAAACAGAAGAAGGCTGAGACTCTGACTCGACCATTCTTAGCGCTGAATGTGGTTCTTCTGAGCCTGTTTCCTGATCTACAAAAAATGGGAGTCATGGTGTTCCGTATATATAAAACTGGTGCACTGGCTGTGAAAATCAATGAATGGGCCCCACAGTATCCTTTCTCCTAGATTTGGCTAGAAAGATGAGGAGAGAGGCACCCAGAGGAACTTGGTACCTCGCTTGAAGTCAAGCAGGAACCAGCGGTAGCAGAAGTAGAAGTGGGTGTAGTCCCCGTTCTGGTGCATCAGCTCAAAGAGCTCCGAGTCCAGGATCTGCCAGAAGAAGGAAAGGTCGGTCAGCCTTGTGGGGAAGAATGCTCCATTCCCAGACCAGGCACCACGGAACCCTTAACAACCAAATAAAAATCCTCTAGGGTTTCAGGAGCTGTCAACCTTTACAGAAGCAGACAGCCTCAGCTTTCTCCTACAGAGCGGCTGGTGGGCTAGAATCACCGACCCCGTAGTTATTAGTCCAATGTTTAACCCACAGTGCCATCGGGGTTGCTTTGGAACAACCAGTGGAGGTAAGGAATGGGCAAGGTGGATTTTCTGGAGCCATTGAGGATGGATGGACCTCTGGAGCTATGGCGCCAAGCTAATCATTAAACCTTAAACCAAAACTGCCCCCTGAAGTCTTCTTTGAACCAAAATATAGTTTATCTAAATGTCTACCTTGGGCAATGCATTCTTTTTGAGAAGGATCTGTGTGGGATCCGAGTGACAAAGCAATCGAGAGGTTTGATGAGAAAGAAGCTCAGGAGGCCATGAGCACCATCAATGGCAGTGAGACCTTTTGGAGAAGGAGGCTGAGAATGGGTGCTATCACATCAGGGAGCGCTACATAAAGAAACTGTTGAAATGACGCATTGTCATCGTTAGGTCTCGACGACTCGATTCTGTACAACAGAACAAAACATGGTATGGTCCTGGGCCATCCTCACAATCGTTGCTTCGTTTTAGCTCCCTGTTGCGGTCCCCGTGTCAATCCATCTCTGTGAGGGCCTTCCTCTTTTTAACTGCCCCGCTACTGTGGCAGCCATGATGACCTTCTCCAGTCAGAAACGGGTCTCTCATGACAACGTGTCCAAAAGACATGAGACAACGTCTCTAAGGAGCATTCTGGCTGCACGTCTTCCAAGACTTAGGCTCACCATGAATTGGAATCAACTTGAAGGCAGCCAGGGGGAAAAGTCAGCCACAAAGAACCACATTGTGTGCTTCTGTTCATCTGAAATGTGCCAAATAGGAAGTCTGTAGGCAGGAACAGGACCCCTGGGGATGTAGTACTTATGTGTGGGGCTTTGATCACAAGGCTGGCAGTTCAATACCACCATTCACTCTGAGGGAGAAAGACGGGAGTTTTCTATTCCCCTAAATAGTTAGTCTTAGAAACCAAGGGGAGTCACTGAGTCAACATCAACTCGGTGGCAGTGAATTTAGGGTTTTTGGGGGGGAGGCGCAAGGATAGGCAGGAATCTGCTCTTACCATTACCCTTCCACACAAGGGAACAGGCTTGGGGAGAAGAACGCCTAGGCTAGAGTGATATATGGGGTCCTGGTTTACAACTGCCAGCACCAGCGCCATGACAGGCTGAATAAAACCAAAGTCTGGGGTAGGCCTAAGTTTCGGTTTCAGGTTCCTGGTCACTGAGGCAACTCTGCCGGATGAGACATCGCCTGTTTCAAACTGACCAATGGGACGCATCACCTGATTGCGAACTAACCAGTGGAATTCAAGCAACAACCCGCCACCGATTGACCAATCAGGGAGGCACGCGCAAACTACTCACCAACCACCGCTGGACATCGCTGGTGCCAGAAGCTCCTCCAATGAACTCAAGGAACAACGACATGGGACCTTCACCGTTTCCCCCACCCTATAAGAGCTAGGCTACCAAAGCACTCGTGGCCGATTCTCTTTTGGACGCTGGGTCCCCGCTGCGCCGGGTAGTGGAGGGAGGAAAGGCCCAGCTCAAGCTTGCAAATAAACTCCTTTTGCCGCTTTAGCATCTCAAGTGGTCGGGTTCATTCTGTGCCCCTGAGGTGAGCTCGCCTTCCTTTCCCGAATCTAACATTTTGGGGGCTCGTCCGGGAACATGGGCCCTGCCGCGGACACACGGACCGACCTTGAGGTAGGAGTTTTCTAATGTCCTGTCCGGACAGGTTTCTGGGTGGCGTGCTAATTGGGACCAGAATACGACCATGGCGGACGCGCCACAGCGGTCACTGGTTGGGTTCAGAGTGGGAGACGTCCTCCTGTTCCCCTGGGAAGTTCCGGTTAGAGGCCGGACCTGGGTTCCGACAGACTGGGTCTGGTCAGACGGAGAGGCGTTCAGCGCCTTGGGGAGTCTGCAGACACTATGTGGTTGTCTTCTTTGTTTCGTCCCTGTCACAGTGTTTGTTTGTTTCGCTTTCGTGTCGCTTGTCTTGTCCATCATTATTTATTTTTCCACAGCCATGGGAGGTTCCTCGAGCATCCCGGTGTCTTTACTTATGGACAATTTTAAGGAGGTTAAAACTAGAGCCAATTATCTCTCTGTGGATATTAAAAAAGGAAAACTAATCATTTTTTGTCATTCAGAATGGCTGACCTTCGGCGTCGGATGGCCCAGTGAGGGGACCTTCAGCCTGCCTGTTACTCAGAAGGTGAAGGACATCATCTTTCAGCCAGGGCAGGAAGGACATCCTGACCAGATACCTTATATCCTGGTGTGGCAGGACCTGGCACAGAATCCTCCTTCTTGGATAAAGACGTTCCAAACCCAGATCTTGGTCACTAATAAAATTCCTCCCAAGGTTATTCAAGCCGAAATGGAGTCGCCACCCGAAGATTTGGAGGAAGACTGGCAAGCGCCGCCCCTTACAATCTTAATCAACCGGCGGCATCCTCTTCAGCAGCTACCCCTCCCCTCGCACTCCCTCCTTTACCTGCCTCCCTCTCGCCTGGTTCCCCATCCCCTCCTACTCGATCCGCTGCTGGACCTGCTACCCGGACCCGACAATGACTGGTCAGGGACCTAGATCCCCCGCCCCCCTAACTCCTTGTCTCATTCTGCCCAGGCCTTGCCCCTGCGGGCAGTTGGCCCCATACGGGACAATGGGGAACAGGCCCTCCAATACTGGCTCTTCTCCACTAGTGACCTGTATAACTGGAAATCTCAAAATGCTAAATTTTCTGAGAACCCTCAAGACCTTATTAACCTTTTAGATTCTGTTCTTTTCACTCGTCAACCCACATGGGATGACTGTCAGCAGCTCCTCTGAGTTCTCTTCAACACGGAAGAAAGAGAGCCATCCAGCAGGAAGCTAGAAAGCTGGTGCCGGGTGACGATGGCCAGCCCACAATAAACCCTAGGGCGATCATTCGGGCGTTTCCCCTGGAAAAACCCGCATGGGACTTCAATGATCCAGAAGGTAGGGAGAGTCTCCGGGTTTATTGCCAGGTTCTCATGGCTGGTCTCCGAGCAGCGGCACCAATTTGGCCAAGGTAGGTGATGTGAGGTAGGGACCCCAAGAAAGCCTGACTGCCTTTTTGGAGCGGGTAATGGAAGCTTTTAGGCTACACACCCCTATGAACCCGTCATCTGAGGAGAGTAGGGCAGCTGTGATGATGGCTTTTATTAATCAGGCTGTACCAGATAGCAAGAGAAAGGTACAGAGAGTGGAGAAAAGACTTTAAAGGATCTGATGGAAGTTGCAGAAAAGGTGTACAACAATAGGGAAACCCCGGAAGAAAGGTAAGAAAGACAATGAATGGAAGATCGGAGATTTCAGGCAGGGGAAACCAAGAGGGTAGTCAGGGAAGTAGCTAAAGTTATGGTGGCGGCCGCTTCACGGGAGAGCAGGGAGCGCTTTAAGGGACCTAGGGAGAGAAGTGAGGGACCCAGAATGAAGCTTAACAAAGACCAATGTGCCTACTGTAAAAGACAGGGGCACTGGGCACGTGAGTGCCCTGAAAAAGGACTAATCAAAAAAGGAGAAGTGTGGTGCAGTTATTGCCAGAGACAGGGACATTGGGATCATGAGTGCCCTGTGCAGCAACAGCTGAAAAGCACAGGAAAGAGTTACAGAGACCAACAAGAGGTGTGGAGAAGCAGACCTATTTTTTTATGCAGGAGAAAAAGAAGACCGTGATTGAGGGGGACGGGGTTCGGAGCCCCTCCCCAAACCTAGGGTAACTTTATTAGTGGAGGGGAAATTGGTTGATTTCTTAGTAGACTTGTGTCTTTTCCAGCATACTAAATTAAAGGCTGTTCTGATTTAAAGTGGCCAATACCAGTACATTTGTGCTCACTAACGTCAATTATATTGATCTTCGTGTGTTCTATTTTATTTTTGACGACTTCCAATTTTCTTAGATTCACACTTAGCACATTCTAAGTACTTAGCATTCCAGATTTTGATGCTGTTTTTCTTGCATGGAGTATGGCCCATTTTCAAATGAAGATGCTAAAAGTGCCAATCCTTGTAGGCTTTATTCCATTCAGGTCACCGTGGTAGACTCTACTTTTAGAAAGCAGAGATCCTCCTCAGTTACATTTCTAGTGCCATCTGGCTCTAGGGCCCCATCCTCTGGCACTGCTTCTAACTATTGGGGTTTCCGTATCTGACATTGCATCGAAGCTGTGCATGAGGGTTTGAGCAGCTACTTGCTCCTAAGTGAGCAAGTGATTTTTCAATGTCTGTTCTCTGTCTGGATGCTCCAGTGAAACCTGTTCGCTTGGGGTGGCCCTGCTGGCATTGAAATGCCAGTGACATAGTTTGCATATCACAGCCACAGCGATGCCACCACAATAGGACAAACTGACAGATAAGTGGCACTCAGTCCTCACCTAGGACAATGGAAGACTGTCGTCCTGCACCAGCTGGGTACAAGGTGCTATGGGGACTAACTGTTACCAATGGACCTCCAACTGCAAGGTGGACCTCAGCGTGGGCCGGGTAACTCACTTGTTCATGCTTATCCCCGAGTGCCCAACACCTCTACAGGGAGGAGACATTTTAACCAAGTTAAATGCCCAAATATATTTTGAAAAGGGACAAGTCCGCCTGACGGACTCAGAAGGGCAAGCTTTAACTACTCTCCACCACCAACCAGAGCCTATATCGGTTCTCACAGTGAATCTAGCCGACGAATATAGACTATTTCAACCCGTCCCAGACACCCCCCCCCCCCCAGGGCCCAGATATCAGCCAATGGCTGAGAGACTTTCCAGAAGCATGGGCTGAAACTGGAACACCAGGGTGTGCCCGACATCGGCCCCCTATCTTCA